TAAAAAAAAGAAAATATCTTAAACTACACAATCAAAATTCTATATAAAGTTTGAAAACTATATTTTGTTATAGCAACTATATTATTTTTATCTGATATTAAATGGAAAAAAACAAATAGTGTTAAAACTCCAACAACTAATAACAATATTGATTTTTTATTTTCAAAAATACTCAATCTATTATAAGTTTCAAATAATTTTATTAATAAATAAATATTTACTCTAACTATAGTTTTATTATTTTAAATAGGCATTAGTTATTCAATACTATTAACATAAATCTATTTTTTTAATAACAATTGATATCTTTAGTTTTGTTATATAGGCTATAATTAATTTACTTTGTAAAGATTATTAATATAATGACAATAAACTTTATTTAAATAAAGTCTTATATTTAATACTTGTTTGTAATTAAAAAAAAAAAAAAAAATTGTTTTAAATTTGATAGAATAAAATATGTATTTTATATTTTTATTTTACGTATTTTTTAAATTATATTTAATAATAATAAAATTTTTTAATATGAAAACATAAAGATTTTTTTTATAAAAATATAAAAATATAAAAATAATAAAAAAATTTTTATATACAAATTATATGTTTAATAACTATTGATTATATTTCTAAAAAATTTTAATATGATTATTTTAAAACTTTAAAATCAAAAATATTTCAATAACATTTTATAAGCATATTATAAAAAGCATTAATCTTTTAATTTAATAATTGATATATACTTGATAAATAGATTTTTCTTTAATAAAATTTGTTTGGAGAAGATTTGCACAGTTGCTTTCACGTGATATGTGATTTCACTAACTCCATTTGACCGATAGAAGGGACAGATGGATAAAATAATGAGTGCAATTATCATGTAATGTGTGTGGATCACGTCGACAGAAAACATCCCCCCTGATCAAAGATCACATCTACATTGTGGTTTGTTCTTTTAAATCGGACGGTTTGTTTAAATTGAAGTTGGACATGGTAAAGAAGCGAACTTATGACTCTCGAATATCACCACGTGCAAAAATATGGATCATGTTCTCATGACTAACCACGACTTGTTCAATCCGGCCAACTTGCATCACTTCGCCATATTTGTCGATAATATGATGGGCATCATGATTGTGTTTTATAAACAAATCAGTCAAACAGGATACTGCGTATCGGATGCTTCCTTTAGAGTCTCGTGAATAAAATAAATGCTAATCAGTGAAACATTCGACATCACATAAAGAGCACTGGATTTGGAAATAATTCTTTAAACGCAAAGCATCACATCAATCTCCCGGCAATACAAGTTTTTTCAATAGAAACCCTTCTTTGTCCGAAAACATTTGTTTTATATAGGCGTTCGAGAGATAATCATCTATTGTAAGATGTAAAGTGCGATAATCATCATGTTTATTGTTTTCCAATAGCTCTGTTCTCATTGGTTTTCGTAAGGACTCTTCTTTGGTCATTAGTAATACATGGGGCGTTATGTGTTGCCCAAAATAATTAATTCTCCAACACATTCTTTCAACCCCTTGAGGTTGGATCAGTCAATAACTTGTGCAATTGATAATAATTGTACGAATTTCGCCGATACAGTCAGTATTCTTTGTTGACAGTATAAGACAAAGATGTGATGAGAAGGCGCGATGATTTTCAAAACGACTGAGGACGGCGAATCATGTATGATGTATCGACTTTGATTAAGATCTTTAAAGGAAATTTCTCAATGGGTCTTGGTGCCCCGATACGCATGCATACACATGACGAAGTCAGATTTCACCTATATACGCAGCAGAAATCACACTATTGTAAAGATGGCTAACGAATATCCCGCGCGATTTTCATAACAAGTTTTCAGTTTACATGTACTGTATGTTTTTACCCATCAATAAGTTATAGCTTTGTGCATCAACGATTCAAGTTTTAACACGTTTGCACTTTGTGATCTGATTGTTTAAAGGAGAAAAATGTACGGGAGTTACCCTTAAATATCTCGGTTCCACCTTTTCAAAGGGCTAAGATCGACCGTTCTAAAACTTTTCCGAGTGTTGTTCCGAACATCCGTTCGAAGTTCTATATATCAGGTTAGACTGTTCATAAATTCCAAACTTGGATAATCAGAATTCGGAATGAATTCAATAAATATGGTGATTGTTGTCAAACGCTGGCTCAGCAATATACCGTATGTTATTGAGTATAGTAAATCTGGCACCGTTTTATTTTTTTTTTTTC